AGAACTGGTCAAATTATACTTCAGCACGAACCACAGGAGTGAAATGATCAGGCTGCGTGTGGAGACAGGCGTTTCACGACCCACGTCCACAGCTGGAATCTCTGGTCTGGCCCAGAGGTGTTGTCCCACGTGGCTGCCAAACTCGAGGATCATTTAGGGAGCTGCTGCATTTCTGGAATCTTCCAAGCCAGTAACAAGCACTCTCACTACCTTAATAAGGTCACGTTTTAACCAACGTCCTGTTTGCACCTGAATTGTTTACTACTTACCCCAGTGATAGAGGCATGCTAAAATAGCCTATTTGCCCTCCCGTATAACCCTCCCAGTCCCAAAGGGTCATACTCTATAAAAACCCCAAAATGAACTGCAGACACAGTGAAGGAGTATGCAGCTAATTACCTTATTTTCTTCGTGCTGAACTCCTCCAGGCTCGTGGCAAATGGAAGTTGCCCAAACTTCATTGAAATCAATGAAAGTGGCAAAAATTCTTATCAATCTCTTACTTCTGCTTCTCTAATTTTTAGAAGCTAAGAATATAACTATGTGTGTGTTGATGGAAAACAAAAAAAATCAAGAACGTCAAGCTCTCTACAAGTCTGTCTGGGCTTCACTCCCGGGCTGCAGGAACCGGCAGGCTTCCTCAGGGGTGGCCTCTGACGTCACATACACGGACGGACCACCAGACGGGCTTTCCTACGGCATCAGTCTGGGAACATCAGCACGGACCCTGACTGCCAAAAGGCTGTGTCGTTCACCAGAGGGAGGTGAACTCAGCGGGACCAATCCTGCTGGCAGTGTGGGGCCTTCCCCCACCCCACCTCCCCCGGTGGCTAAAGCCCAAGGAGAGGGGAGCAGTTCTGGGATAGACCTGGAGGTCAGCCACGGAGCCGTGCTGAGGTGATTCCATCCTGCACATGGGATGTTATGGAAATGTGACACCTCTCCCTGACTCAATTTTCTGGACAGTAAGCTATTTTTTTAAAAAGTTAAACACTTCAAAGCATCAAAAGAATGCCATTATTGACAATCAAGAAAAGTCTCAACTATTTGGATAACATTAAAAACAGCTGTCAGTCTAAACCCCTCATCGGGATGAAGTTACTGAAGACACACTCAGTTTTGGTTTTTCCTCTAGTTGGGGGCGGAGACTGGCTCAGATGTACAAGATCTGGCACTTGATTTGCCCCAACCTCAGCTTCACTGCCATGGACAAAGCTGGAGGAGATGCCAATGGCTCATGCAACCGTGCAATGTTTTATGCCCCTCCCCCCACTTTACATTTCTGCAGAATATTCCTGGAGCTCAGTCCCCTTTGTCTTTTATTTCAGGGAATCTGTTCATCTTATTGCTTGCAGTAAGGGAATTTGCTTGCAGAAGATTATGCTCAGGCTGCTGGTGGTGTGACATCGGCCCCTCTTCTCTATCCACCTCCATGTTACTCGGACCACATGGGTAGGGGGTAAGATGCACAGCAAGCAACCTGGATTTGGGTTCACAGGCTCTGTAGGGCCTTTCATTTTTATGTCCAAAGCCTGGTGACATGGCCTGCAGAAATCTCACTTTCCAGTCAAAACCTGTGCAGACTCCCAGGGTTCTAAATCACCTCACGAGCCGTGTAAGGAGCCCCAAGTCCCAGGACAAGGATTGTGCCTGTGAATATAAACAAGCATTCCACCTCAAATCCTAATAAACCAGGGACATTTTAGGAAAAATGGCAGCCCTCTTCACGACAAGAATGGGAGGTGAACTCAGTGGAAATGAAGAAACAGGGAAGAATAAAGATCTAAAAACACAAATCATCGTATTGGGGGGATATAAAACACAAATGGTTTCTATGAGCTAAACTAACTGTACAGGACAACCTCAAGCCATTTTTTGAAAACAAACTGGAGTAGCAATTATGAGTATGTTCAATTACATCACCTGGGGACAGCCTGATGCAACTTTAATGGACACTCCTCCTTAAAGGAGCAGCAGGACAAAGCTGCTCTCAGAGAAAGGTCTTTCCCATTATCAACAGGAGAACTCCCCCACATCCGTCTGCTGAGAAGTTGTACCTGTGCCGTCCATGCCCAGGGTCAGCACTAATGACCTGGGAAGGAGAAAGGAAATCCAGGGCACTTCCACGGGCTGCAGTCTCGGCTCCCTGAACTGCTGGGCGTTCTCAGGGCGCACACTGAGTGTGAACCAGCTCACAAGAAAACGGGCCTGAGTGTAGCAGGCCAATGTGGTGAGCTGCCTCGTGGAGCTGCCCCAGCAGCCGCCTCCCACCGCTTCTTCCCCTCCCTGAAAGCCCGCTCCGCAGCCAGCCAGGGAGGCAGACCCAGGCCCCTTGTGGGGACGCAGGGTTCTGACAAGCTGTGTGCAGCCCCCTCTCGCTGCACCTGCTGGAGTCCAGGGGAAAATGGAGAGATGGTTTAGAGAGAGAGGGGGAAGATGGGAACCGCTACTCACCAGCGCTGAACTCAGATCGCTCGCCAACGACCCTAGTCTCCTCCCAGTCATCTTTGGGAAGATGACAGTTCTGGGACAACAAGGATTTATCAGAAGCAACTAGCTCAGAAGTATTCCCCTCATGCATGTGAGGAATTCTGGATAGCTCAGTTTTAATTTAGAGACGTGGAGGGACGTGCTGGGAAGACTAATTATAGTCATTCATCTGTCCCCAATTTTCTGCCACGGAACCTTCAGTGGAGAGCAGATGTGTAGAAGTGCAGGAAAAGGATGGAAAAGGTCAGAGAATAATCGACCAACAGAGAAATGGAAACTCCGCACTGACATCCCCTCTCCTCCCTCCCTTCCCTAGAAAACTGAGTGAGGCAGGAAATGGGCATCCGAGGGGGACTGAGGCCCACCATTCCATCCCACGCTCCCCATCAACTATGGCTCTCCCCACATACATGGTCTCCTAAAACGCCACGCTTGGAGTCTCAGGGACAGCTCCCCAGTTCTGGCCGACAGAGGGAGAGGAGACGGGAGTGCCCTCCGACCACCTGTGCCGTGGTGTGGTCCCAGGGTTGTGTTCCTTTGTTCTGCACGTGCCTGCGGCCAACTGAAAGGACTTCGGCACAGCAGTAACGAGTGCCCAGCCATCCACAGATGGGCCGTGCTTCTTTTTAAAGGAGGCTCCTTATTCTGTAAAGGCGCTATGTTGTAGAGGCGCTATGTTGTAGAGGTGCTATGTAATTTGCTGGGAATTTGAGACTTGTACTTGTTAGCATGAAATGCTGCTCAACCTAAGTGCATGAAGACTCCTGATGGTACAGCAGTTGATTGATGCCGACCTTTAACGCTTCACTCGCTCCTGCAGACCGACACTCGGATCATACTCCAGTGTCGCTCTGCAACTGACTTGGCTCCATTCGGAACTCGTGCCACTGCTTACGTTCTGAAAACCAGCATTTCGGACGGATGTTTCTAACCACGCTACATCTAGAGCCTCCTGTCACCAGAACCCTCCCACAGGTGACTGGTTAAAAGGCTGGCTGGAGAACGCAGCACTCTCCATGGAGTTCAGGGCAACCTCACCCGGTGCTTTTAAAAAAGGCACAAAATGCACGATAGATGGCATAAATAAATACTGAGTGGAAAATACTCTTCATGCAGAATATGGTGGGCTCTACGGATAAAATACTCTTCAGGACAGAATACGACGGGCCCTATGGATAAAATACTCTTCAGGGCAGAATACGACGGGCCCTACGGATGAAATGCTCTTCATGGCAGAATACAACGGGCCCTACGGATAAAATACTCTTCATGACAGAATATGGTGGGCTCTACGGATAAAATACTCTTCAGGACAGAATACGACAGGCCCTACAGATAAAATACTCTTCAGGGAAGAATACGACGGGCCCTATGGATAAAATACTCTTCAGGGCAGAATACGACCGGCCCTACGGATAAAATACTCTTCAGGGCAGAATACGATGGGCCCTACGGATAAAATACTCTTCAGGGCGGAATACGATGGGCCCTACGGAGAAAATACTCTTCAGGGCGGAATACGATGGGCCCTATGGAGAAAATACTCTTCAGGGCGGAATACGATGGGCCCTATGGATAAAATACTCTTCAGGGCGGAATACGATGGGCCCTACAGATCAACATTAGGTTTCTAAGAATGCAGCTCTGAAGCAATAGGCTGAGAAATAAGAACAAACACAAGTGATTCCAGCTGCGTTATCTAACTTGGGGACTAAACCATCTCAAATACCTTCATTTAAAATTGGGGGCAGGATACAGTACTTAAACAGCGTAAACCTGCAAGAGGAGAGTCAGGAAGCCAGCGAGACCTACTGTTATCAGGCCTAGGGTAACTTACCTTTGGCAAAGGACAGAAAGCGCATCGTACTCACTCACCATGGTGGGTGTTGTTAAGCACAGTAAACAGGCCTTCAAAAGTCAGGTGTGTGTAGGTGTACAACGTGAACAGGATGTGAAAAGAATTTCTGCCTGTTCACTCGAAAATAAATGTAACCCCTGAAAATCACGGGTAAACTGAGTACCAGTGGCAGCACCAGTTTGCAGAGCTCCCCACAACATATGAAGAACTGATGCCTGTCTGTGCTGAGGAGATGAGGGGAGACCGCGGGCTGCAGGGCTGCAGCTGCTGTGCGGACAGTGAAGGGGTATGGTGCTAGGCAAAGTAACTAGACATCACAGTTTGTGGACGATAACACAAATACTTACCGGAGCCTGATAATAAAAACAGAGAGATTACAGAAATCAAGCACCAAGGTGAAAAACTGGCAGTGAGGTCTGTACAGTGTTTTGGAAACAGCGTTGAGAAGTGGCGCAGCCTCAGATGCACATGGCCTCAGAGGCATCCTGGACATGAGCATCCGCTTCGATCTCTGGAGGAGCAGCAAGTGTTTACCATCAGACTACTAACACGGCTGCAGCTCCTAACCTCGGACTGCCACGTGGTGGCTACGCGGAGAACGGGAAGGGCCCACGGGAAGGGCCCACGAGGCTAAGCTCTAGGAGATACATACATTTACACAACAGTGACACTGGAAGAGCAGCAGTCTTTTCTGGCTTCACTGCATTGTAATTGTGGTCGCTTGCCCAAGATGGCGTGCTGCTTCCCGGCGTTGTTTCTGTAACAGGCGCGTCGCTCCGAGAAGGTGCCACCACAGTCTTCTTCACAATGTTTTCTTTTTTGTCTGGAGCTGGTCTCTTGTGCATAGAAGAAATTTTAATGCCAGCCTGGATAATCAGTAAAATTGCAATCACTGGGGTGGTCCAAAGTTACACCTTCATGTCACAACAAAGGCCGGGATGCTATCTACCCACCCAACTGTCCCCCCACCCCCCACGCAAGCCATTTACAGGGCCCCTTGCCCACCCGGGCCTGACACACTGTGCTGTGCTCGGGGCTGACCACGCATGCACATCGAGCAGACCCCACATCCAATGGCAGTCAGGATGCCGGCTCTCTGAGTGAGGGGAAGGTCCCCGACACAGCACTCTACTGCTGTCGAGGGACGAGGCTGTCAGGTGCCGGAAGAGCCTCCTGAGCCAGACAGTGGAACAAGACCAAGTGGAAATGGTGTGAGCATGAGCTGTGCACAGCACCTGAGCTATGCTTTTTTTTCCTGGGGGGTGGTGGTAAAATTTGGAAAAAAGACCAGAGCAGAAACAGTGTGAGCACTGAGACACAGGGACCCCGGCAAGAGCTCTCAGCACCTCGCCTCTGTGCGGCAGGACCCTGCTGCTCTTGTTCTGGGATTCAAAATGACAAGCCGTGAAAGACTGCGTCATCTAAAGGCTAGTTGTTGGTGGGGGCCATCGAATTGATTCCAACTCACAGCAACACCCTGTGAGAGACAAACCGCCCCACAGGGTTTCTTATGCTGTAATCTTTATAGAAGCAGATCGCCAGGTCTTTCTCCTGTGGAGCAGCTGGGTGGGTTCAAACCACCAACCTTTTGGTCAGCAGCTGAGCACTTAAGCACTGCACCACCAGGGCTCCTAAGCATTTACAAATAACCCAGGAAGGAGAGACTCCCACAGAGAATGAGGTATGCTTCGTTTGTCATTAAGCTTAACAGGGACTGGGACACCACGTCAGCCCAAACTGAAACTCTGGGACTGGTCTCCAAGTGTAAAGACAAGTCTGTGGTTTTCAAACAGTCCCTGGATCCTTCCCAAACCATGTGTGATATATAAACTAGACAAGTGTGACAGGTAGGTCTAAAAGTGAACCACAGTCTGCACCAGAACGTACTTGCCACCTGCCTGCCACCTGCCCGCCCCCTGTGAAAACACCTTCCACACAAACTACAAGTGGTTAGTGTCTCCCCTTGGCAAGTCCGTCTGGTCCAGCCTTACGCTTCACATGCAGAGCCAGCGCCTGCATCTATGACTTAACCCTCAGCCAAGGGACAGAGCAACAGGAAACAATACATGATGCTTATTTATATCCTGAAAAGAAAACGGGCAGAAAGCGAAAGTAAAGACAATACTATCTGCATTATGTTTATGCTGTTTCCTACCTTCTACAAATAAATAGATCTAAAAGAACAATACTCTTACATATTCTTTGCTTAAACTGTTCGAATGGCTGGTCAACTTACCTGAACGGTACATTTTGGAAGACTGAGCTTTTCTGGTTTCGTCTTGAGCTTTTCTTTAAGTCTTGGTTTTGGTTCTTTACCTGAACTTAGGAATTTCATAGTAGCCGCAGCATGTTTGAGAATGCAGTCACTGCTGCAGTAAACCGAGTCGGGCTGTGCCACGTTACAACAGCCGGGGCCAATGCACTTCGAGGCACCAGGAGCCTCGACAACCTGCAGAATGAAACACGTGACTTCAAACAAGGTACTTGCCAAGCTTAGCAGTTAAAACACTTGCCAAGATCACTGTTCATAGCACTGAGATCCCTCTGCTTTTAACAGTATTCAGAGACACTAACGGTACTTTTAACGTGAGTAAAATTTTATCTCTGTTTACTCAAACGACATAGACCTACTTGCCACGTGTATGACATTCACGAGCTTAACTGTCCCTTATGCCACCTGTGCTGGGCAGAATTCTGAGAACTCCCAACATTCCTGACCCCTGGTGCCTGCCCTGTACAACCCTGCCCTGAATGTGAACAGGGACTGGGCATATGATGCAGTTTCACACCCACTACCCACTGCCCTCAAGTCGATTCCGACTCACAGTGACCCTACAGGACGGAGCAGAACTGCTCCACAGGGTTTCCAAGGAGTGGCTGGTAGATTCAAACTGCCAACCTTTTGGTTAGCAGCCGAACTCTTAACCACTGTGCCAGCAGGGCTCCTCATACCCATTAGGGTCTGCCGTATGTCAAACATGCAGGGATTTATAGATGTCATCGAGGTTTCACAGGAGCCGAATTTGAGCTCACAGAAGAGTCTGACTTAACCAGGTAGAGGGCCTGGGCCTTCAGAAGAAACAAGATGCCCTTACTGCTTTGTTGTGAGCTGCCATGTTGTGAAAGGGCCACATGGCAAGGATCTGAGGGCAAGGTTGCCGGATAAAATACAGGGCACCCAACTAAAATTAATTTCAAATAAACAACAAATAACGTTTTAGTATAAAAGCATGCCATGGAAATTCATGGGGCATCCTTACACCATACAGCCTGGAGTCTGGACGTGGCTCTTTCCGCAGGCCAGCCTCTGTTGAGACCGCAGCCCCAGCCCCACCACCCCTGACTGCAGCCTTGAGACCCTGAGCAGAGGGGCCAGCTGAGCCACGCCTAGATGCTGAGCCACGCCCGGATCCTGACTCACGGGCACTGTGAGATCACAATGCATGTATGTCGCTGTGAGCCATTAGGTCTGTTATACAGCAACACGAAGCTAACACTCTCACAAGCTCTAAACACAGCTGCTTCTTTTCACAATTTACTAACGTACGTTTTGGTGGTCATGGTTAATTACACACGAACATCTACCTTAAAATGTACTTGAGCAAAATCTTATTTCTCAAGTTAAATATTTAAGATAATTGTTTTTCCTCCACAGAATCTATGTTTCACTTACAATAAAATTTAGGCTTAGTCTCAAACATACTGACAATGTTGTTGGTGTTGCTAGGTGCCATCGACTCAGATCTGACTCACAGCAACCCTAGGGACAACGGAAGGAAACACTGCCCGGTCCTGCACCAGCCTCACAATCATTGTTATGCTTGAGCCCACTGTTGCAGCCACTGTGGCAATAATCTCACTGAGGGTCTTCCTCTTTTTCACTGACCAGAGGGATGTCCTTCTCCAGGGACTGGTCCCTCCTGATAACATGTCCAAAATATGTGAGACAAAGTCTTGCCATCCTTGCTTCTAAGGAGCACTCTGGCTGTACTTCTTCCAAGACAGATTTGTTTGTTCTTTTGGCAGTCCATGGTATAGTCAATATTCTTCGCCAACACCACAATTCAAAGGTGTCAATTCTTCTTCAGTCTTCCTTATTCATTGTCCAGTTTTCGCATGCATATGAGGTGACTGAAAACACCATGGCTTAGATCAGACACACCTTAGTCCTCAAGATAGCACCTTTGCTTTTTAACACTTTAAAGACATCTTTTGCAGCAAATCTGCCTAATGCAATGCATCATTTGATTTCCTGACTGCTACTTCCATGGGCATTGATTGTAGATCCAAGTAAAATGAAATCCTTGACAACTTCAATCTTTTCTGTTTATCACGCTGCTGCTTATTGGTCCAGTTGTAGGGATTTCTGTTCTCTTTATGTTGAGGTGTAATCCATACGGAAGGCTGTGGTTTTTGATCTTCATCCGTAAGTGCTTCAAGTGCTCTTCACTTTCATCAAGCAAGTTTGTGCCATCTCTGTATCACAGGTTGTTCGTGAGCCTTCCTCCATTCCTGATGCCCCATTCTTCTTCATACAGTCCAGCTTCTCAGATTATTTGCCCAGCATACAGATCGAATAAGCATGCTGAAAGGATACAACCCTGACACACACCTTTCCTGACTTAAAACCACACAGTATCCCCTTGTTCTGTTCGAACAACTGCCTCTTGGTCTAAGTACAGGTTCCTCACGAGCAAAATTAAGCGTTCTGGAATTCCCATTCTTTGCACATAAAATCAAGGCAACTTTTCCTATTAAATTTCCATTTCCATTAATCTGTCTTCTAATGAGTATGTGGGACACCAACAGCTGTTGCCCGCCTCCTCAGTAACACATTAAATGGCCCAGTCCTCAGAGTACTCAGTGGGCTCTATGTGAACCCAGGGTGGAGACCCCGGATGCTTCTAGGGAACAGCCCCTAAGCCTTCTGCACTCCCAGCAGCTGCCGAGGGACAGGCCACGGGGCAGGCCGGCTCCCCTAACCCAGTAGGCAGGACAACAGGCAAGCCCCAGGTCAGAGGCTGGCCGGGGTCCAGGAAGGCCTGTAGTGAAAACAAGCTGAGTCATGCCCCCTCTGGTGGGAAGCTGACCGGAGAATTACAAGTGCAGGAGGACAGTTTTCTGCAGCAGAAGGTAAAGGTACATGGAAAATACAGCTAAGAATCCTGGCCACGAAGGGGCAGAGAGACCTGTTATGCGGGAGAAAGGCATACACCAAGGCCAGGGAAGCAGAGACAAGCTGAACGTGAGCACGCGCGAAGGTGCACGCCCGCGTGAAGGCACGACCAGCGCAGGGTCATGGGAGCAGCACCAGCCCGAGTGGGCAGGCACACCCTCGCTGAGACAGTTCACCCTCCAGGCACATCCACGCGGGAGCTACCCCCTCCCCCTCACAGGGAGACAGGAGTTATCTCAAGATGTTATTGGGTGGCCCAGAGATGGACAATTACTTTAATAATTTAAAAAATAATTTTGCTAATATGAAAATACATAACTAACGCCAAGCTCAAAATGTCACGAATCTGAATGCTTGAGAAGGGGCTAGTATTTAAAAGAATTAAATATTTAAAAAGCGAGTCCACTTGAAGACAAACGTTCAGTAAGTCACGGCACAGGAGGGGGCAGTGAAAAGCAGGTCGGCAACAGTTCCAGCAGGTGACGTGACACGGAGGCCGCCCGGAAGCCAGGGAGCGGAGGGCAGCTCTGGCGGCACGGCACCGTGGTGAACACACAGCTTGTTCCAGACCAAAGACACCTTCTGGGTCTCAAGTCTGAAATCTGTAAGGTTAACCCCTTAACATTTACCTCTGTGGAGAATATACTCACAGGCTGAAATATCTTGAGCTTTTTCTTTCCGCTTGGATTTGCAGCTTTCTCAATTCTACCCTTTATTCCTTGGTCTTCACTAGATTTTTGTTCTACTATTCCTATGCTGGTAAAATCTGTGCCATCAGCATCTCCGTGTCTACATTTAGGGTCCTGCTGATCTGTGGTTTCTGAATTAGTCTCGTCCTGCACTTGCAGAATGGTGCAGTTTGGGCAGATATAATCTTCCCCATTCCTTTCCAGAAGCCTCCCTCGAGCCTCAGAAATGCCCACACAGTCGCCATGAAACCATTCTTCACATCGGTCACAGCAGATCATAAACCTGAAGTGAAAAAGCAGCAAGATCAGGGATGGGAAACAAGCAGCAGTCAGCAAACCCTCAACGTCCGAAATACTTGTAAGTCAAACTGGCTTTAACTTCTATCACATGTATTAAAAAAAATACAGAAAAGTAGAGAGAACAGTGGAAAGAACACTCGTATACCCTTCTTTTGATTTTATTAACATTCAACCCAATTTGCTTCATCCTTTGACTGGAGCATTTTCAGAGTAAACTGTAGGTTTCAAGGCCGGCCACCCTAGCCACTTCAGTGCACAGCTCCACAGAACAGCACCATCACCTTCATCCCACCTAACAAAACCGACAGCGGTTCCCTAACACCTCCTGGCACCCAATCACAGTCCAAGGCCCTGAGTCACCCCACATGTCCAAACTGGGTCCGATCGAGGCCCGCACATGGCACCCTGCTGGGTCTCGCGTGTTACTCGCCAAGAGTCTACAGCAGTGTGCGCCATCTGGTACAGCGGCTACCGGCCACGTGGGAGCCCGCACTTCATTCAGTCCCACCACTGTGGCTGTAAGGAGCCACGCAGGGCCAGTGGTGACCACGGCGGGCAGCGTGGCTCTCGGCAATCCCTACCCACGCCTTCCGTTTCTTTCTGGATACCAAGTCATCTTTTTCAACTGAACAAACCATTCACCCAGCCCAGCCTTTGAACTCTTAATATATCACACGAATGGATAACTCTCACCACCTGGCTTTCTGTGAAAGCTGGGCAGCCCGCCCCCTCCTCCCCCAGGACCTACCTGTTGTTATGAGGCTGTCGGCACAGGCAGTACAGGGCACTGGGGTCGTAAACCTCACACTCGGGTTTGTGCTTGATCGACTCTCTGGGCTCTTCCTCTTTAAGTCCCTGAGCTGCTCTCCCTTCCGGCTTACTCTCCTTGTCATCTCTCGCCACCTGGAACACGGCCACCTGGTCAGCCTCAGGCTCGGGCTTGCTAGGCGGCGGGCTCTCAACGGCGTCACCTGCCTCAACATCCACAGTCTCTGTTGGGTCCTCCTCACGCCGCTTCTTCCTCAGGCGGTTCTGTACGCCTTTCAGGGGCCTATCGGTTGGCTCTTGTTCTCGCTTTCTTCGAAGGCGATTCTGAAGTTCTTTCAAAGTCAGCCCATCACTGTCACTGTCAGAGGTGTCATCCTCCTCGTCACCTCCTTTTGCCTTTTCAGAAGAGGTTGGGCGTTCCTTAACATCTGGGGCGCCAGACTTGGGGCCGCCTTTGATCTCAGAGGTGCTTTCTACGCTGCCTTCAGAGGCAGTTTCGACATCGGTGACTGGACATGACGTCAGCTCGGCCGAGTCTTCCAGGGAGGCAGGAACGCTCTTCCTCCCTCTGCGCCTGACGGTCGTAAGGAACTCCTCCACCCTTTCCGTGCGCTTTGGTTGCCTCCCACTGCGTCGCAAGGAAAGGCTCTGCTGCGGCGGCTGCGGCACCTGCTCCAGAGAGTCCGCTTCGGCGTCTCCCGCACCCTCACGCTTGGCAATCGTGGTTCTTCGGAAGCCCCAGGTTTTCCTGAACTCTTTACTTGTAGGTTTGATGGCCTTGGGCGCTTCATCACTGCTCGGGTCTCCTTTATCATCCATGCCTGACGATAAAACCAACATCATGAGCTTACATTTCTTGGCGACTGACCAATAAACCACTGAGCAAAAGATGGCCACCTTCAGTCCCCCCAGGAGGAGCAGCCGCCACATCGTCTAAGTCTATGAACACCAATGAAACAACAGTGTTCTACTTCAAGGAGCGAGCTTCCCATTACAGCAAGTCACTGTGACCAGGGGAGACGAGCTGAGTTTATTTATGAAGAAAATTTTAATAGTTCCATATTTAATGTTTATTAGAAAAAATGCAGCTAGTAAATTAAATCTACCGTTTTACCATTTTACTGCTTAGGACAAGGGGAAGGAGGGGCAAGGACACGACCCAAATTACCAAGGTCAACAGACTGCTTGACTGCTGTCTGGCTGGCAGCCGCAAGTTCTCCAGCACTCCTGGGTGGGCAGACGGGGTCCACCTCCCTCCCTGGGAATCGGCCGGCTCCAAGCTGAGAGCACAGTGGGGGACGCTGTGCCAGCTCTGGGTCAAGCCCTCAGGAGGACTGCCGTGTCCGTCTTGGGCTCTCGAGGTCCTACTGCCCCCTGGAGAGGCACGGAGAGGGAGAGTGCCCAACCGAGCCCAGCCATCAAGCTGTCATCACCCAGGGCCAGGCACGGGAGGAACGTTGTCTCCAGCCTTCCACACCAGCTCAGCTGCTGGCCAAGTGCCCACGAGCCTAGTGGACACCAAGCAAAGAGAAGAACTGCCCAGCTGAGCCCTGCCCAGGGCCTTCACCTACAGTTGGTGACGTATAAAATGGCTGTTTTTTCAGCTTTGGGCTTTGGGGTAACTGTGTAGCAACAGCTCACTGGAACACTCAGAAAACACCAACTGAGGCAACTGCCTGTCAGAAGTACGTCTGTCTGTCTTCTGCACTTTCTTTCTAACAGATTACTGAAGGATCCTGGTTGTGAAGCCTTTACGCTCCTGTTTAAAATTTAAAATGACGAGACCAAAAAAGGCAACATATACCTGAGGATTCCTTTCCGGGCTGTCCAGGCTTCAATCGCATTTAAATGCTGACGACACCTCTGACTTTATGCCATGTTCCATCCTAAGGGCATGACTGGCATAGAATGAAAACCTTAACAATAGGAAACATACACACTCAAATTTGCTTGCAACCTAAGTTTTTATGTGGGGGTTTTTTTTTTGGCTTCCACTTTCCCACCCAGCTCTGCTGGCGCTATAGACAGTGACTTTGGCTGTCTTGTAAACCTGTCCCATGCTCCCAAGCCACTCAGAAGCTCAAGAGAGTGGCTGTGACAATATATCACGTGTTAGGTCATCTGAGGGGACCCACATGTAAAAGGAAGCAGCTGAACTCAGTCGGGGTGGCCAATTCAGAGGGAACGCCCCTGAAGCCGCCTGGGGCGGAGGCGAGAGCCCTGGCAGCACGTGCCCACGGTGAGCAGCACTAACCGTCCCTGGAAGGTGGGCTCCAGCTCCTGCCGGTGACCCTGACCAGGTCACACTGCACTGCTCTCAAAAACGGCTCATCCCTAATGGTGTGGGCTTTAAACGTGATAAGTGACACACAAACCCCTCCGAAAACAGACATGCTCCTTACCAACGTACATGTGATACTGCTTACTCTTTTCTCTAAAAATTTTACTCTTGGGAAACCAACTTGTGGCAAATCTGACAGCCGTATTAGAAGGGCAGTAAGTGCTAATTTTCACGTAACATTTTGAGTTTCTACTGCAGATGCAGTTTGAAGGGCCACAGCACCAGCAGTTCTTAACCATGAAGGGCCTACACCAGCCTCCCCAACAAGTGCATGGGGTGCATACCTGCACCTCAGAGGGCCCTTATGGGACCCACAAAGCTCAAGCAGGCCCAGAAAACCCATCCCACCTAGTAGGGTGGCTTCCAAAAGGAAGAATCCCCCTCTACAAATACAGTTCTCACCAAAGAGAGAATATGCAAGGTCAACAACATATATGCATTAGTAAAGTAAGCAATGCAAAATAACCGAACACTCCCAATCAAATTCTTAACAGCTCAAACCTTCCAAAAACCCGAGGTAAAGGTAGAATTATTTCAAGCAAACACACGCTATATCAGCTTCTTTACAAAGGAAACAACTTTAGAACCAGAAAATACAAGTTAAAATTGTGCTACTGTTCAAGACTAATACTTTACCTGCCCCCACGCTGAGAGCACGGACACTCTCCTGAAGTCCCAGGTACAACGGAAACCCGGGCCGATGAAATCACCCAGTCCAAGTCAACAGCCGCGCCTCCAAACAAGGCTGTCGCCCGTCACTGTTCACAAAAAACAGGATCTGTGGTCTCAACAACTCAAATTATCTACTGACTGCTCCTGTGCAGTGAGCTCCTAGAGAAGGGAAGAAAATATTACAGATCTAAGTTAATCATAACTAAAATCACATACCCTCTCTATCCCCCCCCAAAGAAAGGGCACCAAACTTTCTAAGTAACATATTATTTGAGTATATAGTACGTGTCCTACAAAGACACAGGGGAGTCCAAAAAAACCCCACAACATGCGCCTCCTTTAAAGACAAGGAACGGAAGACACCATTAAACTAAAAGAAGGGGGAGGCCAGTCTTGGTGGCACACTGGTGGAAGGTGCGCCTGGAACTAACAGCCAGTGGGTGCGGGGCTCCCGCCAGGTGGAGAGGAGAGTTTTAGAAATCTGTACTCGTGTGTTAGCCTCTTTCCAATTACCATTCTACTTCTGAGATCGACACAGCTCAGTAAGACCCACCACAGAACAGAGAAACAAACAAAAAGTGAAAAAGCTGAACAACAAAACAGTACTTATCATCTACGAACGCACTCAGATTGCTACCACCGTCGACAGGAATGGTACTCACAGAGGAGAACAATATTGACACAGAGGGCAGGTAAATGAGAAAAAGAGAAGATGGGTGTTAGGATGGCGGGAGTCCTGCTTTCTTCTTTCAAAAATCCTTAATATTGCAGCCATGTTATTGATTTGATTAAAACTTTAATTCAGATAAATTTTAGAAGACTAAGGTTGATAACTACTAATCATTAGTGTGCTTCTTGTCATCTGTGTAGACTTAAAACCCATTTCTCCTTCCACACCCTCTTTCAAACAGCCTTACCTACTTTAAACGCTTGCTAAAGATGCCTTTGTTTCTAGCTACTTCGTGGATATTTATCTTTTTAACACATGTACCGTTCTTCCCAGAGCCCCACTCTCCTGGAGCTGAAACCCACATCTTACCTCTCCCTCAGCCTCACTCCAACTGCCTTCCCTGTAACTGTGGTCTCCCTAGTGACTTCAGAACAGAGGGGCACCAACACTCCACCTGTCTCCTTTTAAAGAGACAGTGAACACAGCACTTAACAGTGTCTTCTACTGTTCCAGGGTCCAGATTAGCCAAACGACACCACCATAATCACATTCTCTCTTTAGCGTGCTAAACCCAAGCCTCAAAACGATTGCTTCAAGAGTTCAGAAACTTTACTTCCCAGAAGAAACTGGAAATAAACTTTACTTCTGTATTTCACAATATTGAGCACTTATAAAAGCAAAGACATTAAGATGTTCTCAGGAATGAAAAAACTCACTACCAAAAACTCAATTTAAATGTAAATCTGAAAAATAAACTTGTTTTCTAGATTTGATTTGAGTTCTGAATAATTAATCAGAAGGGAAAGTAGCTATTTCTATTAAACAGGATGAGATAAAATACATATTCAGAAACGACTCAGATCATTTCAGATAATTTGGTTCATCTATCTCGACTTTTTGGAACCCTCGTGGCACGATGGTTAAGAGCTTGGCTGTTAACCAAAAGGTTGGCAGTTCAAATCCACCAGCTGCTCCTCGGAAACCCTACGTGGCAGTTCTACTCTGCTCTACAGTGTCGCTTTGACTCGGAATCGACTCGACGGCAATGGGTTTGTTTTTTTTTTTAAATCTCAACTTTAGATCTGCAATACTGGTTTCTCTTCACAATTCCTTCGACATAAACTCTAACGCACAATTTGGTGTGGAACCGAAAACACACACGTCAAGGCAAAAGTAAAAAAAAAGAAAGTGCTGAGTTCCTGGCACAACTTAGAATTTGCACATAATTCTACAAACTGTAGCAAACGAGACTCCGATCACCTCATGTTAATAACAAACCTCCCCAGAAAGGAAGAGGAAGGTGGCGTTGCCGACACTGGCAAAGTAAAATTGTAGGTTAACGCTGTACTGAAATAAATGTTTCTTTTCTACATTCATAAGTGCAAGGCAGGGGTAATGCCATGAAATCTCAGCCTTACAAAACTCACAGGGGCCAATGCTTCTCCTTGTTCTGTTAATGAGGGGCCCAGGTGACAGATGGCAAAAAGTGACCTTCACAGACCTTGAACCAGGGGCTCTCCAACTTTTTGGTCTCAGGACCCCTTTATACACTTAAAAATTGAGGGCCCCAAGAAGGTGGTTTATGTGATATATATCTGTTGCTGTTTCCAAAATTAAAAATATTTATTCATTAAAAACATAAACCCATTACACATTAACACTTTTTAAAATGAAAAATGATACCTTCCACAACAACATCACAGCGATAAGAGTGTCAGTTTTATATTTTTGTTTAAAAAAATGTATTTTTTTCAACATATATGTTTAATATATTAAAAAATTAGAAATATTTTTCTCTAGTTTAATAAAAGACAGGCAGATTTTCATATCCACTTCTGCATTCAATCTGTTGCCATACACTATTCTGGTTGCAATATATGAAAACCTTGCCTCACCCAGGTAAAGCATTAGAAAAAAGGGCGGAGCACGCGAAGCCTTTTCAGCTATTCGTGGCCGTTCTCCTTCGGAACCGCACCAAACCTCCCAAGTGGCAGTTTGTAAGGCTCCCGGCAAGGCGGAATCTGAAACCACATCAGTGAACTTTCCGTACTTGTTACACTGAAGTACACTCTGAAGGCATCTTTTAGCCCTGGGTGCGGCGGTCTGGAAAACACTGGCTCACTGAGTCACGCAAGGGCTCCAGACGTCCACACGTTTTACTAGACAACATGAAAGGAGCACGCTTGTCAGTATCGACACCACTCTCATCAGGGGTCTAACTTCTGGGAAGCTGTCAAAGCTCGTGCTGGCAGATACAAGTTTTCCAAAATTCGAGTTTTTGCTTGAAAGCTTGCGTTTTAGCATAAGCAATCAGTACTGTCGGCTGCTTTCCCTGACACGTGGATCACTCACTCTCCAGAAACGAACGCAGACACCCACGTCTGAGTCACATGGTGTGCCTCTCAGCAAGAACGGTGGGCTGGGAAGGGTGGCTGGCACCGCGCCCAGCTCAGACCGCCAGGTGAGCACCATCCCTGGCGACAACACCCCACTTACAGGTACTGCCATCCCGTCACAAAGAATATAAAAAAACGCACACCAAGGGTTGAGACTTAATAAAGTTAATAATTCTCACTGCTACATCAAGAACATTTTGGAGAGAAACTGGAGTTTTTTGAACGAGCGCGCGGTGAGCAGCACTGGGGAGCGTGATGCTGCGGCTGGATGTGCTTTTGCACCGTGGATCCCAAGTCAGTGCGGGAGCGAGGCCGACTGTGCCCAACCATCACCAGGAACACAGCCGGCAGCGCTCAGCCCCTGGTGCACACCGAGGACTTTTGTCACATGCCGTTTCTGTTAGTTTAGGAGCACGCCGGCTATGTGCAATTCAAGCACACCCATCAGGGCTTTGGGTAGAAGAGACTTCAAACATTTCCTTCCACAATTTGTTCTAAAGTAGCCTATGAATTTTCCCTTCAGATCCCCCAACTTATCAAAATGCTTAAGCTTCCTGAACAGAACTTCTTAAAAACAAACTAAAATATATTCTCCCAAAATAGATCAGTTTTATGTTATTAAATAAATTTTAAAAAAACCCACAAACATTATACATGATTTCATAACCATTGTAAAACTAAAGACTCAACTTTTACTATTAAAGTATGCTTAAAATGAAGAGTTGAGGCATACTCTAAAAATTTTTAGCTCACAGACTTCAGAGAGTGCTTTCTTAGTCATCAATCTCTAAAGACACTTTAAAAGATGATCCACAATCACAATGAAGTTCCTATTCTCAAAGCAGGCAAGCCCAGGACACAGCTGTGGCTTCCTCCCGAAAGATAACAGACAAGGCCTTGTTTTGCCCCACCTGGTGGCAAAATATTGTTATTTCCTCACACCTTAATTATTTTCCCCTGAAACAAGACTCAAAACCAGCAGTAAAAAGTAATAGTTCTTAAAATTTCAATGTAAAAACTGTCATCTCAAAACAATTCTAACCTGCCAGTCAGAAATTATACTTGATGTTACAACAAGACCTCATTGTCTTGGACTCAAAGTTTTTGCTCGTTCTGACAGGCTGGGCCAAAATTTACATTTATTTTGGAGTCCATGGGTGGTGCAAACAGTTAAGCACTCAGCTGCTAACCAAAAGGTTGGAGATTCAACTCCACCCAGAGGCACCTTCTGGTGGTCTACGTCCATAAATAGCAGCCACTGTAAACCCGATGGAGCCCATGGGGGGTTGCCATAAGTCCAAACTGACCCCACAGCAACTGGTTTTTTAAAAATATTTTCTAAAGGGCCTTCTCCACCAGCAACTAATCCTCTGCTGCTGTTGGTGAGGGAAGGCTGAGAATATGATGGCTAAAAGTTAAACTACTACTAAAAAAAAAAAAAAAACTTTCAACAAAAAGACTTTTAGGGTGGCTCAGGGGAACACGCCTAGACTTTTCAGACAACTCGACTTATCCTGAAAGTCACACTGTTGGAGCTCAATCGGCACGAAATGCCGGCGCTCGTCCGCACCTCACCCAGTCTCAGGTCTGCGCAAGAGAGCACCACGCTTGTAGGCAGAGCAGAGGAGGGCAGCGGCGGGCCCACTGAGTAAATGCAGATTCATTTATTTTAATTTCTACACAGAATCTGACTGAGTGTGTGAATTTCACTTCCATTTAAATCCTTCAGAAGATCATAACTAAATCAAAGTTTTGCATCTTACCAAACTGTCACTAAAAAACGATGAAGCTAGGGTGCCCACAATACAGTAATTAAGTCCTCACGTGTAAATACAGAGAAAACTCCAGAAACAACTCTACTGAACTAAAAATTTCGTAAATATTTTTGCTTTCCAATATATGGAAACAAAACCTGTAACTTGCAGCTCAGGACACAGACGAGCTCTGCACGCACGCTGCACTTCAGCGCACCCGCGCAACCCTGGCGAGTGTGTAAAGGATCCCTCTGGTCCTCTCTACCCAGTTTCTGATGCAAAGCACAGGACTGGGACCATGGTGGGCAACTCAGATGGGAATTTCAACTCCCCAAACAA